GTATTGTTTGTTTGCCCGGTCGTATAATTGTATTTCACACTTGATGATCATATGTACACCGTTGATAGTGTCATATAGTACGAGTGCTGGAGTTGTGCGCGAGTTTGCGCAATGTAGCGGGGGAGCGGTGGCGCATGGGTTAGCGCGCTACTCTACAAACCCAGCGACCCAAGTTCCATTCCCCCCTCGCGATCAAGACAGTGACGATTATCTGAACCGGTCCTGCACTTCCCTTAGGTTGACTCGGCCTCAATGAGTACCTGGTACGGTGTGTAAACATTGCTACTGGGGAGACAAAGGTGGTCTAGCGTGGTGCTGGGTACCCATCCCCTCGTGTACTGTACCGGCCTTTGTAGGTGCTCGCTAACAGCATTTTCCCCAATAGTCTGTTTAAGGCCATAGAGGTGGCTCAGTCTTTTGTTATGCAGTCTATTCTTAGTCCTTAAGCCTCACCTTACCATATTAATAAAAAGTGTGCCGTACTTGGCACTTCCCCTCTTCAACCATTATATATACGGAGTGGTAGCTCTTGTAATTTCTCATTTACTTGATACAGCTGTCGTGGCTGTGACGGTTCCACCTGAAGACGGAAGATTGTGTTGCCTCCGAAACGTCGTGATTTTTATTTTATTTTACTTTTATAATTTAAATGTTTTACCTACGTGACTTTAACGGAAAAAACCTAAGAATATTTGTATACAGTGTGTAAGTAATTGGCTTTTTCATTGGTTAATTCTGCTTAACAATACACTGTGATGTTAATGCACTCATCCTCATCCTGACAGGCACTCCCGTATGCCCTGTATATATTTTGTCCACATTGGTTACATTTGTCAAAAATATAAATCTCGAATGCACCAATGGCCGTTGATGAAAATGCCATCACGACGACGCGCTGTTATTTATTTATTTATTCCTACAAGATGCGGGGGGGCCAATGGCATTACAATTCAGGGAAGTCATAAAACAAAGTTGGGAGGGCCTTTTCCAGAGTGTGTGTGTGTGCGCGCGCAATGGCCTAGCTTTTTTTTGGTTGCCTCGACTCCGATCGCAATCCTCGAAAAAAAAACGCAGCGTCTTATTTGCATGGCTTTCTTATACTTCCATTACCGAGACAGGGCGAGTTAAAAAAAAAGACACGAGACGCTGATTGCTTTGTGGCTGTGGGCCTGAAGGCTATCTGCTGCATAATAAAACAGTAAATTCAAGGTGAGGAGCAAAAGCGGTAGGGGTGTGGAGATGGATGTGATCTCTGGCGATATTGACCGTGCTGCGCATGCTGTTTTGGTTGCCCGTGTAATTGGATCTGAGCGCGAGCTGTCTTGATGTTTATGCAAAAATTGTGTGTGTGATATTACAAAAAAAAATTGCGATAAATAACGAATATTATTGTATCACGTGGCACGCTTTTGGTAAGGTCATTAAAAAAAAAAATTTACTTTTTCGTAATGCACATTTTTGCTTTCAAACCCACAATTTATAATTAAAAAAAAAACATTTTAAGTTTAAAACGTTTTCGGGCGGAATAAATTGTAACAGTTAAGTAAACGAAGCAATACAGTGGAATAATGTATTAATATTTGTTTTCACAAAAGGAGCGCATTAATCAAAATATTGTGAGGCAAAATGCTGCGTGTACGTGCTTCATATATTAAGGCCTGGAATTGTACATTGAAGCAAAGTGCTTTTAAAAGGGCTAGAGTAAACGTGCCAGTCTGTATTATCACAGCTGCGCTTAGTTTTCCTAAAACCCATGCTGCAGTGCCACTGAAGCCACCGCATTCAAAATCTCGCCTCTTCCAGACGTTATTGACTTTATTTTTGTTCTCCCCGCCGACTCCACCCCCCCCCCCCCCCCCCCCCCCCACTTTCCTGTCGCTCGCTTAGCGCTGCCTGGTCACGTTCAGGGTCAGGGAATTAATACGCGCAGAAATGCAAAGCTTTTCTATTACTGGGCATCGATCGCCACTGCAGTGTCATTCATTGAGGATGGAGGCGTGATGGATGGGATGAGCGAAGAACGACCTGCGCATTCCCGCTCGCCACGCGATAGCGCGATCGATCGCAAATTCTGCGGCGACGCGCCTCGTGAATAATGTATTGCCAAGCGGCTGCCAAAACGTTCGATAGCCACTGTCGATTGCTGTCTTGGCCCCCCCCCCTCCCTCGCCCGCCTGCCCACCACCCTCCAACCCCCAACGAAGCAGCTCCTAGCGCGCTACCCTGTTCGACAACCCGGGTTGCTTTCGGGTGGGGGCGGGTTTCCCCTCTCGTTCGGATGACCATCCCGCTCAAACTTGTCGATAACGGAGAGCGACGCTTACTTGCAGTTACCTCGGTGAACCCACACAGCGATGAGCAATGTCTCATGCTCTCAGGGCCATGGAGTGGAATTTTGTTGCCGCTGCGATTTGATGAGGCAAGGTGTTGTTGGCATGGTTTATTTGCATAGTAAAACCGATTTTTTTTTTGGTGGTTGATCGGTTTTTTTGGGTTCTGCATCACTCTCCTTACTACCGTGGTTTACCGAATTAGTTGTACTCGTTATAGTGTGTCTCTTTGTAAGTTTCCTAGTAGAATTGCAGTTATGGTGGCCAACTTGCGTAGGTGTCGTGTGAATACCTATTGAAAGAATTGCAATTATACGTATGTAAAACACACGGAATAGTAATGATAGTTATTGTTGAATTTGTAAGGCGCATTTCATAATCAGAATATTTATTCATACTGGAGGAATCCGATGAGCTGTGAAGCTCGGTTTTTTAACAGATGCCCAGTAACCGATGTCAAATAGATCCCAATGCGCCATAGAAATAAAGCAGGAAATACAACAGAACCAGGGTAAACGGCACAAACTATTGGGTACATTTCGATTTAAAGCTTTCGTGACTGCAGGGAATCATCTTCTTGGTTCTTTCGGTAAAGTCACGTAGAAGGGAAATAATAAAACATAATAAAATAAAAATTCTCACGACGTTTCGGGTACAGTTCAGTTCAAAAAGGTGAGTTTTCAAAGAGCAATTTAAATAAGTCGAGTCACTCCAATTTCCTGATTTTACCCAACGCGAAATGTTTCCGCGCTCTTGTGAGCTTCGCTGGCAAAAGCGCGATCACCCCAGGAACAGAGGTCGCAAACGGGTTTTGATTCCGTACTCGTACCCGGCCGCACCAGGGTCGAAAACGGGTACCCGTACCCTACCCGATACCCGGCTACCCGGCCGGGTTTCGGGTAGGGTACTGGTACGGGTACCCGTTTGCGACCTCTTGGATGAATCCATGTTGCAGGCGCGGGTGGGTTAATTCTAGGAACTTGAATTGTGAGAATAGACAAGACGTTGGGAAATGAGTGACAAACGGTGACTCACCAGTGACTCATGGCCTACCCGTACCCGGCCGCACAAGGGTCGCAAACGGGTACCCGTACCCGGCCGGGTACGGGTAGCCGGGTATCGGGTAGGGTACGGGTATGGGGTAGGGTACGGGTATCGGGCACCCGGTTGTGACCTCTCCCAAGAACAGAGCGTTGACCTCGCAAGTCCTTAGAAGAAGGCCCTCCGAGAATCTCGGGGACCTCGTTGGAGAGTAAACACGGACTCGGTTTAACGCGTTGGCTGTTGCGACTAATGTTATATTTACACAAACAGACCTCCATTATGGAAGACATGGAATCAGTTCCTGCAGATATTGTGGAACAAAGTCCATTAAGGGCCTTGTAGGTCAGCAGCAGGATCTTAGGGTTGGCTTCCACAAATTGTTTCCTGTTTAAAGTATAAACGTGGTTTATTTTTTAAGTGTAATCAAATTCGATGCATGATCTGCGCATTTATTTGCTTGGGAATTGTCATTTGTGAACCTCATTGGGATGTTATGGTATTTTGCATCTTTTGCAAGATGTTAATATAGATAAGAATCACTCTCTTATATATATACACAACAGAAGAGTGAAGCGTGAGGTATTCATGGTTTAATGATTACAGTTGGGATTTTTTTTACATTAATGTCTGGCCTTGGTGTTTAATGTTAACACATCTTCTCAATATGAGCAGTGTGGCTCCCTCTTCCCAGCCTGTGACTCAGGCAGGTGCTGCACACCGAGGAATAACAACTGTTTGATTTGTATTTGATTTTTCTTGGTTCTTTCGGTAAAGTCACATAGAAGGGAAGTAATAAAATAATAAAAATAAAACACAATAACATAATTCGCGTCTGAATGACGCTGTCTCCCCGACAGACCTGGTCTTCACCTGAGGACGGCTGCTTGCGTTGTGGCCGAAACGTCGTGAGAATTATTTTATTATGTTTTATTTTAATTATTTTATTACTTCCCTTCTACGTGACTTTCCCGAAAGAACCAAGAAGATGAATCCCTGCAGTCATGAAAGCTTTAAATCGAAAAAAATTGTATTTGATTATTATTTCTTTTTTTTGTGGTGGTGCTTGGAGACGCTAGATTACGGAAGGGTGTGTGTGTGTGCATCGCTTACATCGTTACAGAAACTCAGTGCTGCCACCCTCGTATACTGTAGATTGATGTGCCCGATATTTCTCTGTCTGGATGTATATACTTATTAGTATCGAGTGATGGTACTGTATTCCTCCATGCCCCTGTGTGTGTGTGGGACATTTCTATGAATGAATACATTGTTTGTCATTTTAACCCAATATATTATTCGTTCATGTTACAACTTTTTTAAGGAGTTTTATTTTGCTCGAAAATGTTCAATATGCACCAAATATATATTCTGACTGCTCTCATTGAGTAAGACAGGATGTCACTATGAATGTTAATGTCTGTACATACCATAGTAGTAGTAGCTATTAAAATATACAACTGAATTGTAACCATATAATAAGTTTCAACGAATAGCTGGAGGGGTTTTACATGAATGTATTAATAATAAGGACATTATTAAACTTAACTATTTTAAAGTGAAAACAAATATTTCCAACGAAAAATTCAGGTAACATGTAGATTTTGTACAGATATTCAATACCGTTAAAACTGTACGTTGCTTAAAGGGTCATTTATTGAAATACTAAATAAATACAGTGATGCAATTTGCTTTGTTCAATAGAGCCATTGTATTAAAATGAAGCCCGTTCGTCACATTATGATCACTACTAATATCAGCGGTTATGTTGTTCTTTCACCACTCCACATATGCATTCATATTAAATTGTAAAAACAAAACATGCAACGATAAATTGATTAACAGAACATATTCATGATTTGAATTAAAAACATCACCATTAATAGTTAAAACAGATATGATAAAATCGACCATTTAATAAGTCAATGAGAATCTCAACGTACTTTGTTTACACGCCGGTATTAACAGTGAATTGTATCGTAAATTACAGCCAGAAAAGCAAGTACAGGGGTTAAAATGTAAAGCAAACATTTCAACACGATCCTCATTAGCTGCATAAACACACCAGAAGTGATATTAATTTTAAAAGTCGCCCTGTGAAACAAAGTCAATCGGAATGCATAGACGACGTTGGTACGGTCCTCCCATCGCCTCCACCCGTCCAAGTAGTCTGGTCTTCGCGACAGACGATGCTTCAGCTCCGAGCTAGGAACCTGGGGCAGGCACGCAGGGGATCTTGCAGCGCACCCCCGTAAGCCAGCGTCCCTTTCTCCACGTGCCGCGCGGTGAACTTAGCCCAAAAGGAGCAGACAGCAGACCGATCGAAAATTGGACGGCACCCCGGGCAATCGGCCAAACCCGACCGGCTAGCCGGAGCAGACAGGCAAGGTAGGCACACAAGCAAGCGGGCAGGCAGGTGACTTTGCTCATCTGCCAAGGCTGCAAGTCATCTGGCCGGCCAGCCCAAGGGGCATCCAGCAAAGCGGGGCAGGCAGGGCGGGCAGGCAGTGCTTCTGCCTCGCAGGCTCACGCGGCAAGAAATGCACTGCGTAAGGCAATACGACACAGCCAACATCTCGCCCATCCGCCCCACCCTCCCTACCCTAAGCATTCTCCTCCACCACTCTTAACACTCTGATGGTTCACACCCAACCGAATGACAGGAGGTTGTAGGCTGACTTTAGCACTTTTAGTGTTTACACGGACGGATGCCACGGTGGTCATCCATCTGCTTATGCACATTTTCAAACGAAAGGCTATGTTTAATGCGGTCGTTATTATTGTGTTAACTCTAAGGTTGACAATTTTTTACACTCGTAAAATTACACGATAAAAATTTTACGGCAGTATTTAAGGAGATACGCGAAGTAAAGAGTGTGTTTTATTTAAATATTTAAAATGCGAAAATTACCTGCATCGTTACTCGAAGTCTCGAAGCCCTTTTTGCGATAATTTTTTTTGTCAACGAAATGCCTTTTCAACAACTTGATGAAATCACTCCTCTAAAAACAGCTTACGCGAACCGTCAATTCGTCATCGCGTCGTCCCAAATGTCGTACGTGTATAAAAACCTCGTAACTATTTCGATGCGGCCGTTTCTTCGGCGTAGACCCGTTGTCGTTCTCAAGCGACGCTTCGGCGCGTTACTTTCGGCAACCTCCCCCCGCGTCGGCGCAAAGGGGGTGGGCGACAGAGCCCGCTTTCGGTCGCTTCGGACTTTTGAGCCGCACGCCTGACTCGGTCCGCAGGAGCCGGAGCAAGTTAACGCCGGGCGAAGTGTTGGCGCGCACTGTACGGCAGCGAGCCAAGGACCGGTGCGGAATGGCCGATCGTGCGGCCGCCACCGCCGCGTCCCGTCCCGTCCCGCATGCGTGGCTGGAACGTGACCCGACATGTTTATTATCTGAGCCGATCCCGACCAACAAGCCCCCACCCCCAAAACAACGCCCTCTATCTAACTCACACCCCCCCACTACCCCTTCCGCGCCCCCCCCCCGCGACCGCCAACCATGCACAACCTGCGCCCACATGAGCCTACCCTTCTTCCGCCTCCCACCTCACTGGCCTGCCATCCCCCCCCCCCGGCCCCCCTCCCCTCTCTCCCGCACACCCCCATACTCCACCTTCTGTCCCCCAGTCACTCTAAACTGCTGTTTGCAAAAGCTTACAGGTCCAGGGATGCTGGAAAGTCATAGCAGAGTTTCCGAGGGAGGTGGGGGAGACAGTGGGAGCACGAGGCCCATTGCGCCTGTCCACCACCACTTAGGCGCGGCGTAGGTGTGGCGTGCGTGAGTGTACGGCTTGGTGAAGCTTGCTGTAGAGCACTCGTGTGTATGTGTAGTGCAGGTGTTCTGCATTTGCCGGGCCGGGCAGTTTAGCGCAAGCGGCGCCCGGTAAGTTGCTTTTCTTCGCGAATTCGGCCCGCCGAATGTTTTTTCCGGGGGGCGCGCGCGTCCGGTTTACCCGTCTGCGGAGCAGCTGTCGCGAATCGGGCTAAGTTTTATTTATAAGGAAAAGAAGGTGAGAGCATTTCACATTTGGCGCCCCAGTTCTCATCCTCCCATCCCATTCACGCCTTCTCCGCGCGCGCGCCCATTGCACGCCAGCCGGCCGCTGTGGCCTCTGAATGGAGTGTCTGCAGCTTAGTCCCCGTTTTCAGTGAAAGCCTGTCACAGGCAGGGTCAATGCCATGGCTACGCTTTTGTTCCGCATGTCACTCACGGCTTTCGCTCACCACGCAACCACTTAAATCGAGCCTGGGAAAATACTTAGCTTTCCATGCAGAGCGGCGATAAATAGCATGATAATGCATTCCGCCATGTACAAAAGAGGAGCGCTGCATCTATTTCGCTCGTAGTTTGGTTTCCCATCTTCGTAAAGTGGCGTAAAAAGATCGCATCGGAGCGTAATGTGATTATGTTGTTTTAAGTATTTTTTTTTGTCGCGCGCCGAAGTTTTTTTTTGCGCGAACATTTAGCGGGTTCGGAAGTTGCTCGCGGTTAAAACTTCCGACGGAACTTTGAAAAGTTACCGTTCCTTTTCGCAAGTTTCGGGAAAGTTATTCGTATTTATACGCGCGCGCTAATCGCGGGATGCGCAACGACCGAGGATTGAAAGATAATCCGACAGCTGGGAAAATTTGCAGTAACAACTGAAACGATGCGTGAATGGATTAAATTTCTCCGTTAGCTTTACGCGGTCCTTTTTGGTTTGCTGTAA